TAAAAAAGATTATGAACCTACGTATTAATTAAATAAAGACAAGAAAAAAAAAACATTGTAGATTGCTTATATTGATGCATATTTGCATCTCCATGCTTGAATATGTAAATGGTATATATTTACTGTTTGAACTCAAATTATATGATGAATTATTCATACATGTTTACATCCTCAGAAATAATTAGAAAACATAATTTTTGTATTAAAACATCATCAATTATATTTAAGAATTTCATATGAATCTCTTAATTATAAAAAAACAAAGAAAAAAAAAGAAAAAGAAAAAGAAAAAGAAAAAGTAAAGAATATTTGTGTTATTAACGTGAATATGCCTGAGGCACGTGCCTAATACTAGTCTTCTTCTAACGTATATAAAAGAGCCAAACTCTCCTTCTATCACTCTTTCTCCTCTATTCGCCACTTGTCAACATTGACTTTTTTTGTGTTTTTTTTTTTTTTTTTTTTTTTTTTTTTTTTTTTTTTTTTTTACTTTTTCTAATTCTTTCTTTATATTTATTTCTTTTCAAAACTCTTCTACTGATTATTTACTATAGCATATTTTTTATTCTATAGTATGAATATTGAGATAACACTCAAACAAGTATTATTAATCATCACAAACTGTTGTTCAAAAATTAGTAGAAATAAGTTTTAAATAGTAAACTAATACCCTAATCCTATTTTAAATTTGAAATTTGAAACAACTAATATAGATATTGTAAGGAGAACTACTTTCCTAAAATCCTAAAGCCTAAATATGATATCTATTCAACATAATTTTACATTGAAATAATATCCAATATTAATTTAAACATTAGATAATGATTATTGCAATTCTAAAAATACTTTCAATTATGCCAGTGCATCATTCTCTCCGGGGTGAAAATAATTCGTCCTCGAATTAATTCGAAAGTAGCCTCAAGTGGTATGAAAAGAGAACAATCTTTTTCGAAGATTTTGAATGACCCAATTGTGATGCAAATGATTTATCAAACTTGCTAAAATGCTGCCACAAAAAACTTTCTTCATTGTAAGCTCTCGCTTGCTCCAAGTCAAGTACCTATAGAATGCGTTATTGATGGAATCAACGAAGAATTGCGAAGACTTGATGACAACATTGACAACATTGGACGGGCACTAATGTCATATTTTCTACCGAATAATTGGGTACCAATGTCATTAGTCTGGAACTAATTGGGCACTAATGTCATATTTTCATTAGTCTGGAACCAATGTTGAAAATATGGCACTAATGTCATATTTTCTACATTTCCAGACTAATGTCATATTTTCACCCAATTATCTCCTAGAACTAATGTCATATTTTCTACCGAATAATTTGGTGTAGTCTGGAAATGTAGAAAATAGAAATCCACGACTCGCCTCGAGTCTTGACTCTTGATAGAATTATTGGTGATGAGACCTCTAAACTCGTGCTAAAAACGTCCAACCCAGGAGAAACAACTCACAAATGTATATGCTTATTTTCTTGTTGCAATTAGTCATCTTTTTTATTTCTCCCTCAATGAAAAAGATGCAAGTTTCGTCTTTGTCTAGAAGACTTGGTCATCAATGTCTAATTATGCTTTCTATATGTCTTTGGAATCTTTCTTTGTCAAAATAATTAATTTCTTGACTAGGAACACGACATGCATTTCTTGACTTTGACTCTTTCTCTTTAATAATTTTCTCCAAGTAATTTCCCATTAAAAACTTCAATCAATCAATCAGATAATACTATACGCGAGCAACCCGTTTGGTTCACAAGACAGGACAGCATTGCTTAGGATAGTCTTAGGGGATTGAGTTGTATAGAATAGAATAGAGTTTAGCTTTCGTTTAATCCGATCCCATGTGTGGTGTTATGTTATGGGATGGTCTTCCTGAAAATATTTAAAACTTAATCAGATTATAGTTTTACAAATTTGAAGGGTAAAAATATAGTTGTCAAAGAAAATTTGCCCCATAATTATTGCATTTCAATCTGTCAGTTTTTGAAAAATTATAGCTTGGCTTCAATTTTTTTTCTTTTTTCCTAATTTTTTTTGTATTGCAATTATGAACATAAATTTTTTACAATATGGTCCAATTAATAATGTTTTGTGCATAGTATTAGAATTTTATTCTATCCGGTCGATCTTAATCTTGTGCATAAAAAAAAAAAAGAAAAAAAAAACTGAGATGAATAACTAGCCTTTAGAAATTTAGAATTATGATGTCAGACATGTATAAGCACAAGTTATTGATATTAACGTGAAGACATTAGCTCTGCTTTGTTTCAGTTCAAAAACTATTTTTCCAGTCATTGATAGTTCTTACTTTTATGTGTGTGATAATTTCTATGGATTTGCTAATCCTAACAGTACAACATCTTGGGGTACAGGCAGGAATTGTTGTACATGGAGTGGAGTCACATGTGATGAAGGGACAGATCATGTCATTAGGCTTGACCTTGGATGCAGTGGGCTTGAGGGCATTGTCGTTTTCAGTAGTCGTCAAGACTTTTTCTTGTGGCTTGTCGTTTTACTTACTGAATGTCGTATTTATAGTGTTGTGTGCTTGTTTTCTGTCATTTCTTTTTGTTGTAATGTGGGCTTTTAAAAAAGAGATTTTAGCACAAATGACCTTTTCTGAAGGATTTTTTTTCATAAATATTTAAAGTTTTGTAATTACAAAATTGGCCATTTTTATTCACTTATTGGTCAATCACTGATTAACTTAGCAATCTATCACTAATTGACTTAGAGATCAATCATGATTAACTTAACAGTCCTTCACTAATTGACTTTAATTTATCACTGATTAACTCGACGATTTATTATTATTGATTAATTTTAGTTAACAATTAACCAAAATCAATTAATAATTAATCAATTTCATTCAACAAATTATAAATTTATTAATGATAAACCATTAATAAAAAACGGCCATTTCATAAAATGTAAAAAGTTCGGTCATTTTAATAAAATTAAGAAAAATAAGGGATTTATGAAAAATATTTTCGTTAAATTAAGAAAAATAAGCGATTTATGAAAAATGTGATAAAAAATGTCATTTAGCTAATTTTTCCCTTAAAAAAGTGAAAGTTATTTTTTTTTTTTCCCTATAATCCCCTTTGTCCTCTCCGCGTCTGTTGTGTCATTGTAAGCTCTCCTTTGCTCTAAGTCAAGTACCTATGGAATACGTTATTGATGGAATCAACGAAGAATTGCGATGATTTGATGACAACATTGATATGTATCTCAAACTAATTTATCTTGTTGGACGGGCACAAGGAATGTGCTTTATCTCCTAGAACTAATGTCATATTTTCTACCGAATAATTGGGTGTAGTCTCGAGATGTAGAAAATGGAAGTCCACGACTAGCCTGGAGTCTTGATAGAATTGTTGGAGATAAGCTATGAACAATACTGTGGTGTGAAGCAATTTACTCTAACTCTAACTCATAAATATATATGCTTATTTTCTCGTTGCAATTACTCATCTTTTTTTTTTTTTCTCAATGAATAAGATGCAAGTTTCGTCTTTGTCTAGATGACTTGGTCATCAATGTCGAATTATGCTCTCTATATGCCTTTGGAATCTTTCTTTGTCAAAATAATTAATTGCTCGACTAGGAACACGACATGCATTTTCCTCTATGCATTAATGGAAGTTTTGTGCGACAACTCATTTGAAAAGTCTTTTAATGGCAGTGGAGGCCACTTTCATGGTTTTTCCTACTGCCATCAAAAGTTTTGTTTATCTGTTTGTTGTGACTCTGTTATAGTAGTTTTATGATAGAAGTTTCCTAGACGTGTCTATCACCATTATTTTTAAACAAGCGCTCTTATATATCTCAACGGGGCCGTTAAAACCCTACAATTAAAGTAAGGAGGGTAGGTTAGACTCAACCTAGTAGGACCCGCTATTTTTGTGAGTGATGAGCTTTCATCTTCTTCGGGATGAAATTTTTTTTTTTTTTTTTTAAATAGAGAGACATACAAAGACAAAACTTTCTGGCCGATTGATTAGTTAATTTTCAGATAAATAAAATGGACTAAATTCATCAATAGTGACTCTTGAAAGAAGATGACAATGAAAGTGCACTAAAGATAGATTTCATAAAATGTCTTGTTGTGAGAAGACCTTCAATATCCATAGAAGATAAGGTGAAATGCAACTTAGCACAACTTGGCAGAGAGCTAAGAAAAGCTATTAGTGAAGATAATGAAAACTCAAATGTCCAACCAAAAACTCAAGTTACAGTGACTTATAACATGACATACAATAATATCTTTTCTTCTTACTAGAAAGACTTTGACTCTTTCGCTTTAACAATTTTCTCCAAGTAATTTCCCACCGAAACTTCAATCAATCAATCAGATAATACTATTCGCAAGTGACCTGTTTGGTTCACAAGACAAGACAACATTGCTTAAGATAGTCTTAGGGGATTGGGTTGTATAGGAAAGGATAGAGTTTAGTTTTCATTTAATCTGATCTCATGTGTGGTGTTATGTTATAGGATGATCTTTCTGAAAATATTTAAAATTTTGTCAGATTATAGTTTTACAAATTTGAGGGGTAAATATATAGTTTTTAAAAATAATTTGTCCCAAAATAGTTGCATTTCAACGTGTGAGTTTTTGAAAAATTACAACTTGGTTTCAAAATTGTTTTTTTTTTTTTTTTTTTGTAGCTTTGCAAATATGTACATAAATTTTTTACAATATGGTCCAATTAATAATGTTGTGTGTTTAATCCCATGTTTCACCAAGCATATTATTAGAATTTTATTCCATCTGGTCCATCCTAATCTTGTGCAAAAAAAAAAAAAAAAAAAAAAAAAAACACGAAAGATGAATAACTAGCCTTTAGAAAATTTAGAATTATGATGTCAGACATTTATCAAATGCCTATAAATGTGCATGGTCGCATGGCCTGTCATTGCACACAACTATTCCAATATCTAGATTATCCATAACATATATACTTGAAGGTCTTATTGTGTCAAAAAATGATTGTCTGGTTTCCATTGTTGTGTCTCCTTTCCCTTTCCCTTCCTTCTTCATTACACTCTTCATCATTTCTGCCATCTCCCTTTGCTCGTCCTCCGCCACAGTGCCACCCCCATGAAAGCTCTGCTTTGCTTCAGTTCAAAAACTCTTTTTCCACTGTCATTGATAGTTCTTACTTTTATGTGTGTGATAATTTCTATGGATTTGCTAATCCTAACAGCACAACATCTTGGGTTACAGGCAGGAGTTGTTGTACATGGAGTGGAGTCACATGTGATGAGGAGACAGGTCATGTCATTAGGCTTGATCTTGGATGCAGTGGGCTTGAGGGCATTATCGACTCTGACAGCGCCCTTTTCTCCCTCACTCATCTCCAAACTCTGATTCTCTTCAATAATTATTTCGTCGGTTCTGAAATTTCACCCAAATTCGGTGCGTTTGTAAGTATGACCCACCTTGACCTTTCTTACACTGGTTTCAGTGGCCAAGTCCCTCTGAAAATCTCACACTTGTCTAGTTTGGTTACACTTAATCTTTCTCAGAACTATGATTTGAGTCTAGACAGTTATAGTTTGAAACAAATCGTTACAAACTTAACTAGTCTCAGAGAATTGTCCTTGGGTGGTGTTAATATGTCTTATGTCTCACCCAATTCCTCCTTGAATTTTTCAGCTTCTTTGGTGTCTCTTGATATTAGTTATAGTGGATTGACAGGAGAATTTCCAGAAAATATTTTTCACTTACCAAATGTTCAAGAGCTTAGATTATCACACAATGAAAATCTCACTGGTTCGATTCCTCGATATAATTGGACCGGCCCACTCAGATATTTGAGCCTTTCTTCCACTCGATTCTCGATAGATTTACCATACGTTATCAGGAATCTGAAACACTTGGATCATTTGGATGTCAACAACTGCAATTTGAAAGGATCGTTTCCTGCACTTTCTAGCAACATTACTCAAATCACCTCCTTAGAACTATCTTCTAATCATTTCGACGGTCAAATCCCGTGGGGATTCGTCAACATGCGAAAACTATCTTTCTTAGATCTTTCAAACAATAATTTCAAAGGCGAGCTCCTTCAGATTTGTAATTCCACAAATAAAACTTTTTTATGTGAGTCTTCAAAAGATCAGTTAGTGGGTCCTGTTCCATTGCATTTGGAATCCTTGTTCTTACACGGTAACTTTCTTAATGGCACAATACCTTCTTGGCTATATTCCCATCCATCTTTGCAGAATCTCCACCTAGATCATAACCAATTCACTGGTCATATTGGCGAATTTCAGTATAATTCTTTGGTGAATCTTGGTTTGAGTTCAAACAAACTGCAGGGCCTCATTCCCAGCTCAATTTTTCAGCAAGTGAATCTTTTGGGTTGAGATCTTTCATCAAATAACTTGAGCGGTTCCGTTCAGTTGCGCCAATTCTCAAAGCTAAAAAAACTCCAAAGCCTTTCTCTTTCTAATAATAGCCTATCAATGGATTCCATCAACTCCATCATATCTGTTTCACCCAATACCCTTCAGTATTTGTACCTGTCTTCGTGCAGTATTACTGAGTTCCCATACTCCTTAAGAAGCTTGGAAAATTTAGTGTTGTTGGACCTTTCCTACAACAGAATTGGTGGGGGTGTTCCCCAATGGTTGTGGAACGTTGGGAAGGATTCGTTGTATTCGTTAGATGTTTCTTACAACCTCTTAACTCATATTGGGAAAATTCCATGGAAAATGGTAGAACACATTGACTTCAGTTCCAATAGGCTTCAAGGTCATCTTCCAATTCCACCACCTTCAACTACTCTATTTTCAGTCTCCAATAACCAATTGGTTGAAGAGATACCTTCTTTGTTTTGCAACCTTAGTTTGATTGAATTCCTTGATTTGTCAAACAATAGTTTGATTGGGAGCATCCCTCCATGCTTTGGAAATTTTAGCAACATCTATGTTTTAGATTTGCGAATGAATAAGTTGCATGGAATGATTCCGTCAACATTTGCAAAAGGGAATAGCTTGAAGAATCTTAACCTCAATGGAAATCAGTTAGAAGGGCCAGTTCCCCGATCTTTGCTCAATTGCGAAGGGCTCGAGCTTTTAGATGTTGGGAACAACAAGCTAAACGGGTCCTTTCCCCATTGGTTAGAATCTTTTCGAGAGCTTCAAGTCCTTATCTTGAGATCTAATAGATTTTATGGTCTAGTAAGTGATCCTAAGGTGAGATTTCCTTTTCAAAAGTTGAGAATCATGGACATCTCCAACAATGAATTCACTGGTATTCTGCCAACAAAATATTTTGAGAATTTGGCGGCCATGACGGATGCGCATACGGATGAGTTGGAATACATGGGGGAACACGTAGGTTCATCCTATTATTCTGTGACAGTGACAATTAAAGGATTCAACATCGAGCTGGTGAAAATACAACAACTGTTCATAACCATTGATTTCTCAAGCAATAACTTCACTGGAGAAATTCCAACGGTGATTGGGAAGCTCAATTCACTCAAAGGCCTCAATTTTTCTCACAACAAGCTGTCTGGTCTTATTCCACCATCCTTGGGAAACTTGAGCAACCTTGAATGGTTAGATCTCTCTTCAAATGAGCTTTTCGGAACTATTCCAGTGCAATTAGCTGCAAATTTGAATCAACTTGAAATCTTAAATCTTTCCGACAACAAATTAGAGGGACCAATACCTCGCGGGGAGCAATTTGATACATTCAACAGTGATTCTTATAGTGGAAACCCGGGATTATGTGGATTTCCTCTCCCCAAATCGTGCAACAATGATGACGGACAACCTGATCAAGGTGATGAAGATGGTGATGGTGATCACAACAAAGGAGTGATTGATTGGAAGGTGGTGATGATGGGATACGGAAGTGGAATAGTAATTGGAATATCGGTAGGATACATGGTGGTTTTCGATAGAGGCTTTGATTATTGGTTTCTAAAAAGATTTGGAGGGGGATGCTTCTGTAAAACCAGCGGTCGCTTTAGAGGATGGAGAAGATCAAACTAGCAAGCACAGGAAATCAAAGTCTAGAGCAAAGATTAGAAAGTAAGCTACTTTACAAGAGCTTTTAGAAAGCAAATTTCATTGGCTTCATAATTAATTGCCTTTCACTTTTGTTTTTGGGTTTTGTTACTTTACAGGCAGGCGCGTGAGAAGTAACATTGATCTGATCAAGTGCAACTGATGCTGTACTCTGCATTGAGGCGTGGCTCTAATGAACCATTATCTTGTCTTTTATTTTTATTATTATTTTTTTTTTATGTTTAGACATACTTTTGTGCTGTATTGATTGTACCTTTTTTTTTTTTTTTTTTTTTTAAACACAGTACTGGAATGTCTTTCTGTAGCTTACGATAATTGATCTTTTATCTTCAAAATCACCACTGAATAAAAGACATTTTCATGAACGTTTCTGCAAGAAATATTTTTACTTTAAAAAACTGATAGCTCTTCCGTGGTTCAATTGTTATGTGAGTAAAATAATTAAGTAGCGACGTTGGCGAAATCCTGATATGCTTCTTGGATCAAGGATGTTAGCTATTCACATATTCCAACACGGACGTGGTATCTCTCTGGCTAGATGATTGGTTGATATGAAACCAATGCATAGTGAACTGGGAGAGAAAAAGATCTCTCGAATATCTGCTGCCTATCTTTTCTTGTTTACCAATATCAGTCTAAATACAATCCAGCTCAATTCCATTTTTTAGCTAACTTTGTGTTTGATTCATTTTCTTTCCAAATTTCGCCTTGGTACATATCAAAATTCTAAAAACACTAAGCTTTTTCCATGGGATTTGCTTCATATGTGCTAAAAAGTTATGAGAATTTTGTTGGGAAAATTTGGAGGCATATAAGGTATATGAGACGTGTGACGGTTAGAGTGCTATTCACTGAACAAAAAATCAAGTCTATTTATATATTTTTGCAATGAGGTATCATTTTTTGCGGAACCTTTATGGAAAGGAATATATTCTTAAAGAGTATTGCAACTATTGAGAATCCTATAAATTTGGTGAGCAAGGTGGTGACAATGATCAAGATCAATCACTGGTTGGACTTGATCAATATAATCTAAATTTTTAATCTAATCTATAATCTATAATCTATAATCGATCGCATTCTATATATAATAATCTATAATCTAATCTAATCTAATCTAACAAATATAAAAAAGTCAAAGGTCTTTTATATTGTGGCAACCCCTCCTCTTACTTTCCCTTTTTCCCCTTTTTACTTTTTTATCTTTATTTTTTACTTTTTATACTTTTTTTAATCTTTTTAATTTTGTTTACTTTTCAATTTTTGTGTATTTTAAAAATAATTTTTTTCTCACTTTACTCTTACAAAAGTAAATTTTCGCATGTTTGCTCCTATTTTATTTTTTATCACTAGTTAAAATAATTTTTTTCAAATGTGTCTCCACTTAATTATTTTATGTGTAATTCTTATCATATTAAAAGTTATCTTTATACATATTTTTTTTAAAAAAATAAATTCAAAAATCCTTTGTATAAATGAATTTCTCATTATTTGGTAAATAATAAACTTTTTAGATGTCTCTAACATCACAATAATACGTGCGGAGTGCGTTAAAAAACAGGTTAAGTGAAAAAGGCACAAAGAAAGATCAATAGACTACACCCAGCTTCTGTATTTATTCATACAAAAATTATACATGCATGGTCCCTTCTAATAGCCAAATATCTATACAGAGTACGTCCTGTTCGTTTGCCTAATATTATTCCCTCCCAATTCTAGATATATAGGTGTTGAAGATGCTGAGCAATAAATTTGAATGTGTTTTATTATAACACCCAGGGCCGACTCATGTAAATTTGAGACCTTAAATAAAACTCTTACAGTATAAAAACTAAAAATAGCACTTAAATTACTATTACTTACTAACACTTACGCTATTAAATGGGCGTAGTGATGAAGTCAAAAAAATTTGTGAGAGGGGGTAATAATTACAGTAAGAATTTAAAGAGTATAAAATTATAGTTTCAGACCTTATTCATTTCACCGATTTGAGTTTTCAGTTTTAAGTTTTTACAGTTAAAAGCTCTCAGAAAATGTTACATCTAACTTTTTCTGCTACAGTTAAAAGTTCTCAGAAAATGTCACATCTCAACTCAAATTAAAAATTTGAATCCGCGAAACGAATGAGACCTTAATTTTTTAGAAGGTGCTTTATTCAATTTTTTAAAGATACTCTTATATAAATATAGAGGGAAAAAAAAGTTGGGGGTTGGGGGGCGGCAATTCAAAGAGAGAAGAACGCAACATAAGGACCCACTTTGGGATTTTTCGTTCATAGAGCGTTTTGATTTTTATTAGAATTCGACAGAATTAAGAGACGTTTGATAAGGAGATTTATACCATGATTTAAATTATAATTCATGGGTTATTACAGTATTTTTTTCTCATAAAAAATACACATAAATTGAAAATTATTCTAATCTCATGATTTTAATTTATGAACCAAACGTCTTTTTATATTTTTATGTAATTCTGTCATGATTGTTGTGTAAATTGATTTTCTACATGGCACAACTTCAATGTAGAGAACCTGATATATCTTAGATAACTAAGATCGTAAAAAAAAATAAAATAAAAAAATAAAAAATGTCGGCATAATTGCTGCAATACCAAATCATGTCAAAAGTCCAGGAAAATGATTTATTTGTTAAACAAGGAATTTCATGCTGACGTAGCGAAAGCACATGAAAATGAGAAAAGAAAAGGATAAATTCTTAAGATCTGTTAATTCTCAAAGAATATCGGAAATAAAACTTTTATAAACATGTTGATTCACTCACAAATACTAAAAGAATAGGCGTCAATCACTTGTTTATTTTATAAAATATCGAGATAATATGAATATTGAGATAACACTCAAAGAAGTATTATTAATCATCACAAACTGTTGTTCAAAAAATAGTAGAAATAAGCTTTAAATAGTATAACTAATACCCTAATCCTATTTTAAATTTGAAATTTGAAACAACTAATATAGATGTTGTAAGGAGAACTACTTTCTTAAAATCATAAAGCCCAAATATGAATATCTAATCAACATAATCTTACATTCAAATAATATCTAATATTAATTTAAACATTAGATAATGATTATTGCAATTCCAAAAATACTTCCAATTATGCTACTGAATTATTCTCTCCAGGGTGGAAAGAATTCGAGTTCTCGAATTTGAAAGTAACCTCAAGTGGTATGAAAAGGGAACAATCTTTTTCGAGGATTTTGAATGACCCAATTGTGAAGCAAATGATTAATTTTTCAAACTTGCTAAAATGCTGCCACAAAAAACTTTCTTCAATGATGATGATTGCATTGGAAACTAACACACAATCTTCCGTATCTTCATTGACTTCATCAAAAATTGGACTAAAAATAATATTTTGGCCTTCTTGTTCTTCAACTTCATCAAATATAGAAGCAACAATTATTTTGTTGATCGTCGTCCTCATCGCTCTCGACAAAAACTGAAACACGATGAAAATTAACAAGTTGATCTTCCTCTTCATAATCGCTTTCAAAAAAATTGGCTTCTATCAACTCTGATACTAACTGGTTTAGTTTTACGTGCAATTATAGATGACGGTTTTATAAAACATTGTCATCTAAGATAGAAGATATACGACGGTTAATGAGAAACCATTGTCTAAAGATTAGCGCAAAGCCCAAAATTAAATTTTTTCGACTCATTTTGTCATAACTCTCTCATTTCTTCTCAGAAACCCTAGTCCCGTCGTTCATCTCTGTGTGTCCTAACTCAGCTGTCCCTTCTCTGACCTCATCTTTGCCTTCGTCATCGCCTCCTCGTCGCCGGTCGCCCCTTCTTTCACCGTCGTGAACTTGGCTCTTTCCGATCACTCACTCTCTCTCTCTCTCTCTATATATATATATATATATATATCATCCCCAAAAGCTAGCTTGTAGGGAGAGGGTGCCCAAATGGTTATAAACCCACATGCTAAGCCCATACTTTAGCAATGTGAGACTCAACCAGGATCCTAACATATCACCACGCTTCCGATACCGACGTCCACGGCGGCCCACTCTGGATGGCCCACTCTGGCCTTTCCAGGTCGCCCCTCTCCAGGTCGCCCCTCCACAGGTCGCCCCTTCCGCAACGTGGGCCTGAGGAGGAGCATGCTCTGATACCAATTGTTATAACCCTTGGGTAGAACTCATCCCCAAAAGCTAGTTTGTAGGGAGAGGGTGCCCAAATGGTTATAAACCCACATGCTAAGCCCATACTTTAACAATGTGGACTCAACCAGGATCCTAACAATATATATATATATATATATATATATATATCTTGCC